CAGGTCCTGGGCCCCCTCCAGGTCTGGGCCCAGCCTGCGGGGACCGTCGGGGACAAGGCTGGCTCCCGTCCGGGGGCACCAGCGTCTCTCACGCTGAGGAGCGCCCTTTATTCCCGTGTCGTGTCTCCACGTAGACACGCTGCAGGGAGCGCGTTTGCTCCAGGGCTCTAAGGTGTGTCTCTCTTTTTCTGCGACCCACAGATAAACAGCAGAGCCAACGTGGTAACTAGCCCCAAAGAGAACGCCCCTGCCCCGGCGCTGGTACAGCGACTCCCGCGTGCTCACTGCCCTGCCATTGCTCTCGTGTGCCCGTGTGCAGACGTGTACACACGTGTTGTTGGGTTCGGTGTTGGTGTTGGTTTTGCTTTCTGAGATGCGGGCATGTTCATTGTCTCCGTTTCTTTTTGTTAAGGTGGTTGTCAGGCCGCGTGTGGCTAACATGACGCCTTCATCCCACGTCTGAGCGTGGCCGCTGTGTCTCGCAGGGACATGTGCATGTGCCCACAGGGGCAGGAGAATGCGCTTTGCTGCTCGAGGCGTGGCTGCCGGAGGCTCAGAGGCAGCGCTGGCGCCCACGCAGGGCAGGGCCGCTTGCTGCGGACGGCGGCCTGGCGGCCTCCCCGGCAGACGAAGAGGCGCTGGATTTCCAGTCTGCGCTTTGCCGCCTCGCACTGAAAGGCCCCTTTCACTTCAGCCCCGAGAAGGAGCCCGCGGCACAGCACCGGCCTGCCCGTTCCTGCCCCGCAGTGCGAGGTGGACACTGGAGGTTCGGACACTAGAGTTGAGTGCTGAGCTCCCCACTGTCCCCGAGCTGTTCCGTGTTTGGGTGGATGGTTTCCAGAAAGGTTCCTGATGTTCACCGTCCTCTGTGCCACTTTAAATGAGTCCAAAGTGGCCGGGATGATTCCACTTCGTTCACCACAGGCCCCACCTCCATTTAAGGACGGACGCGTGGAGAGGGCGGTTCCCTCCCTGGCCTTAGTGCACGACATGGTCCCTCAGGGCGAGGGCGGCCACGGGCTCTGAGGCTCCCTGCAGCCCGGCCGGGAGGGCGCACGTGGCAGGGACTCCCACTGACCAGGCGCCATCCACACGGCGCTGACCAGTCTCCACTTTGGAACGTGTCTCCCATTCTCTGGTCGGAAGCAATAGGAAAGACAATACTATTTAAAAAGGGGAAAAGTAAAAATAATACTTCCCTTATGGAGAAAGCTGGATTTACAGGGAGCAAGCCTTCTGGGCACATGGTACATGTTGTCCATAAAGCAGGAAAATTAATGTGTTAATGAGTTAACACAGGACTCAGCAGCCATGTGTCTCAGATTACTGTGACTTTATGGTTAGTTCTAGAACCCCTGAAGTGAACCTTCAGTGCCCCTTAGGATTCTTCATGGACATTTGAAAGTATGTTCTTTACGATAGTGCTCTAAGTGTAGTCCCATGGAGATTGTCCAAGGGTATTTATTTGTGTATTAATTATAGTGTCAGCACCTTAGTCCTGAAAACACTGCAGCTGAAAATGCCTTCAGAGAGATTGTCTGTCCTCAGAGTCCTGGCGGCCGCCGCGGCTGGCCAG